AAAAAAAAGGGGCCTTCGTAATATGCAAAAATGAGCAAATCAAACCAAAACAGAACAAATCTAAACAAAGGAAAAATATTTACATTTAATTTTGTGATGAATTGGTCTTTTAAACAACCTACCTGTTCTAAAAGGTTAATGGAGTCCTGAAGTACATTTTTGAGTAAGCGCAGCTCCTCTGGAGACCTCAACGCTGCTCCCAGTTTGGATCCATACTCAGCAGCTAAGCTGTTAAATAACAAAAGGAGGAATTCATTCTCATGTGTAAGGTATTTTTGCTACAGAAGAAACAGAAACGGAAACAAGGTGAAGAATGTGAAAGAAGGCCACTGATGTCACTTACATAACACCGAAAATTCACAGAAGCAGACAAGCAGACAGTTTGAACACTGAGTCATTAAAACAAGAGCTCTCTTGTGCTGTATGTGGGTTGCTTAAACGGCCAGACAAAACTGGAGGAAGACGAACCCCTTCCTCCCGTCCACCCACACTAAGACTTCTGCTTTCTGAGAGCTTGTGGCAACAGCTATTACAGGTACCTTCTATGAACAGTCCTCGGTTATTCGCAGGTCACAAAGAAGCAGTGGGAAGTCAACTGACCTGGCCTCGCTCCTCTCCCTCAGGCGATGCTTTGTAGTCAGATACATGCGCTGGGCCACATCCTCCATAGCCCACAGCTTAAAAAACAAGCCTAGATTCAGCATCGTCAGGATCAGCAGACTGTAAAAAAGGCAGAAGGTATTGAGTAATCTGACCAACAGAGCAGGCAGGCGGAAGTGGCGAAAACTTTTTTTTTTTGTAAGTCAAAACAAACCGTTATCTTTCTCTGTGTGTGTGTGTGTGTCTGTGTGTAACTTACACCACACTCATCCCAGCCACTATCGTTGTGACATTCCATCGATACGGACCTTTCATATCTACAGGGCCTGAAATACAGCAGCAAACATCAACACAACAGTTTTTGACTAGCAGTCCTATGAGGATAGAATTGCACTCAGAGCACATCACATTTGTCAAGACATTTCCTCTTAATGACAAGCAGTTTTTTGCTTGAAGTATAAAAGTTGCTGTTCTCTGAGCGTGTCAAAAGATTGTACCATAACTCTACTTAAGATGACACAGTTATGACAAGTTTGAGTCTTTCCTATTCAAAGTGTACAGTAAAAAGTGTATTAAATGTCTAAGCCCACATTAAGGATTACTTGCATCCAGTTTAAGCCATTACAATGAAAATATCAACTTTAAGTGTTTAAATCTAAGCCAAGCACAGTTATAATGATCCCACCACCCCATTTTCATAAACTGTAGTTTCATTATTAAAAGGCGTCAGTACCCATGTTGCCTTCTCTGTGCTGCTCAGCGTCGTGCCTATACTGCTTTTTGGGCTTTGAATGCTCTGCCAGAGTCCGGCTGTAAGTCCGCCTCCTCCTGCGAAGCCCACCAATCTTCCCCGCCTCTCCACCTCCTTGGTTCATCTCTGCTTCCTCCTCCAGCAGTTCTGCTTCTGTGTTGTGTAATCACAGGGCAAAACCAAAAGTAAAAGGGAAACAGGTGGGTTAACTTAGCAAAAGCAATCAGCATGAACAGCCTGGCCCGTTTATGGTCATGCCAAAACATCTCAACACTGTATTTTCCCAAATGTTTTTTGGCAGATATGAGATGTGCGTATGTGTTATTTGTGGTC